TTCTCTGTATTTTAACTTTTTTGAAAACATAATAAAATTTATATTAAAAACAGAAAAGAAAAGAGGAGGAGGCAGGAGGCAGGAGGCAGGAGGCAGGGCAGTGGCCTGGGGAGAGGAGCCCTGTCTTCTGCTGGCAATGCATTGCCAGGTGAGGCAGGAGAGGGGGTGGTAGCGGAGGAGAGGGGAGCAAAGGGCGAGGCGGTGGGGTGCAGCGTGTTCCATTGCCAGGCAAGTCAGGAGGCCTTCACCCCTGTCCCCTGTCCTCTGCCACCACCACCCCCTCTTGCCTCCCCCAGCAACCGAGCACACCACATAAACTAACTCTTTCTGGGAACTCCAACTCCACAGCAAACCTGCAATGCAAACTGAAGGTGGGAGAAGGTGGGAAAGGGTTAGTCTGCAGTGTGCTGGAAACTAACCCTTTCCCACCTTTTCCCGACTTCTGGTTCTGACTTCTGGGTCCATCTTGTTCGTATCAGTGAAAGTTCGCAACGTGGAAGTTTGCAAGTAGGGGACTGTCTGTATTAAGAAAGACGACAGGCTGGTTTTTGTTATCTGTCTCCTTCCCAGAGACACAGTTCTAGTGGGTTGCTTTCACTCCTGATGTGATTCCTCCTCATTTTTATACAGGTTATTAAATCTCCACAAATATGATTTTTATTTTCCAGACCATTTGCAGGAAGGGACTTGAAATGTACAATTTGACCATAGTTTCAAGTTTTTTGGGCAGGGGTGTGGGATTTGGGGGCCGCTGAGAAAGGAATAGAAGGGAGAGCCGGCATAAACAATCAAGAGATGGTGGGTGAATCCGTTGACAACGTATAAACAGCAATTCGGCCCCAGTGGAGAGAGATCTGGGAAGAAGTGTTGCAAAACATTCAAAGATCCACCTGAATTAACTCCCTGTAGATGAGTTTTAGTGCCCACACAACTGGGCAAAATCAAGAATACTGGACCTACACTGATTCCAATAAGAAATCTTGAATGCTACCTGGGGGTAAATACCAAATCATGGATACTCTAAAAGGAATTTCCCAACTTCATTTATAGTGACTTAATTAAGGTGGAATCTCTTTGAATGAGTTTACAGGCTCCGGACTAATGTTTCTTCTCTTGATGATTTGAAATATAGGAAGAGCTGAGCCTGACAAGAAAAGGCAAAGCACTCCCCTTTTGAAACCCGATGAATATATGCTGAACGCTGAGCCAACGTTGATGCTGCCAACTTTACCAAGCTTAATAGAGTTCGAAGGGGATTATCTGGCCCGAAGGAAAACAAGCAGAGATAACTTAAGAAAAGGTGAGATATCTTTCCCAGGGGCACCATGGTGAATCTCTTTCTGCAAAATTTCATAGCCTGTATTTCAGTGTTTCTCAACCTTGACAACTTTAAGATGAGTGGACTTCAACTCCCAGAATTCCCCAGCCAGCATGGGAGTTGGAGTCCACTCATCTTAAAGTTGCCAAGGTTGAGAAACACTGCTCTATATACTGTTTGGTTATCCTCAAAAGAACCTCTGATTCTTCTAATTATCTTATCACTTAATCATATTATATCATAGGTCATTACAATTACCGAATCAGTTGTACAATTTTCATGGCAAAGATTAGGGTTAGAGTAGGAGTAAAAAGCTAATAGTGAGTTTCCCGTGCTGAGTAAGCCTTAAGCACAGATTGGATGGGAAATGATCTACTCGAAGATCATGATGACAGGGAAGTCCTATTTACGTTCTACCGAGGGAAGGAAAGACCATTTTGGCTGAATTAACTAAAGCCCTTGATTCTGTAACTTTTTTTGGGGGGGGGGAGTGCAGTTCACGCAACAGGGGTGTAATATGGGCAAATCTGGGGGTGCCCAACATTGCATGCACCACCGCATGAATTTCCTGTAAATAAATCTCCTTTCTGTGACACAGAACCTGCGTTGCTAATCCTTGCTCAGATTAGTCTATAGAAGAAGCAGTTTATTTATTTAAAACATTTATATAGCCACCCATCTTATATCGAACTCTGGGTGGTTCCCAACCAACACTTAAAACAACATCAATAATAAAACAATGTAATAAATACATATATCTATATTAAAATATATCTATTACAAATATGTCTATAATAAGTAATTATATATTTTATGTATATTATATATAAAAATATATCTATTACAAATATGTCTATTTTTTAAAAAAACCCTCTCTCTTTATTTGCCAAATGTAGGATTCCGTTATAGGGAAGCTATAAAGCATGATTTTCTGTGCAGGAAGAACTACACAGCCAGACTTCCCTTAACACAAATGAGAAAACTCGGACATTATTGGTGGACTAAGTTTTCTCTAAGCATTCTTGGCAGCAAATGTAGAAAACCTGGAATGTGATATATGCTGAGCTTGTTCTGACCTGGGAGATGATCACTTTTTAACCGTCTGTTGGGCACATAAAACTGAGCAAGATCCAAAACAAACTTTTGGGAAGAGGCTGTCACATGGTGGATAATAGATCATATTTTCAGAGATGGATCATATCGTTCTAGTGGCAGGGCTAGACAAGGTGACATTTTCTCTGAGCTCTTCCAGTAAATGCATCTTAATTCTTAGGTATAGGTCCTTATTTTAACCTCATTACATATGACAACTGAAAAAAAAAGACGAATGCCCCAAATTAGAAACAGAGAAATGCACATATTTGAAATGCACGTTTTGTAATGGGATCTGACCTAGAGACTTTACTGAGATATTTTAGCCTGAAGAGGCAGCCAATACATGTTACTTTTGCATGATGCAATGACATATGCTTGTAGAGATAAAGTGGGGTGGAAATGGATTGGAGCAGTGATGGAATCCTGGCAGACAGGCAGGATCATGTTCCGTAACAGGCAACTTGAAACAACAGACATGGCTGCTTTAATGGGTCAAGTTAAAAGGGCAGCTGCTTTAATGAGTCATTTCATTCAAGCAATTGTGTCCTTCTCAGGCTTATCTGAAAGCTTAAAATATTTGTAATTACCCTTCAGAAAAGAAAAATAAATGTTCTTGAGGTCCTCATTTTTCTAGCTACTTTTAGCCAGGGGTTTATACAGAAGGGGAGTCAAAATGGTGGGTGCAACTGGGCAATCAAAGCCCCGCCCCTTTATAATGTCACCCACATTAAAAGGGGTGGGGTTTTGATCACCTGTCACACTCACTATTTTGATGTTGTTGCCCCCCACCCCCGATGCTTCTTCCTTCTTGAAGAGAAGACAGCAGAAATACATAAATGGATCATGTATCAAAGTCAGCAAATTTTTCAGTATTCTGGGCCTGCCATTTGAATGCCCACTAATAATTTCAAAGTTAATAAGTTCTCTCCTTTTAACTCTGTAAAAATTTCAGCTGCATTTTTAAACAGTTAAGTTAGACGTGCAAATACATCTCTTCTTTGGAGTCCTTGGGGTTCTCTGAGCTTGGTTGTTTCCTTGCAGATGTTTCATTACCCGACTAGGTAACGTCTTCAGTGCTAGAAGGGAGAAACTTCCCTCTCCCTTCTAGCACTGAAGACGTTACCTATTCGGGTAATGAAACGTCTGCAAGGAAACATCCAAGCTCAGAGAACCCCAAGGACTCCACAGTTCAACCCTGAGCCACATATATTCTCTTCTATTGGGACATTTCTTCTTCCTGACTCAACCTCTTTTCATAGTTTCTCATTTCCAGTGCGATACATCTGCAATGACTGACATTATCCTGCTGGTGGATGGATCTTGGAGTATCGGGCGCAACAATTTTGGACTGATCAGAGAATTCTTGGTGTCTTTGCTTGTACCTTTCAATATTGCTGAGGATAAGATCAGAATAGGTGAGCGGCTTCTTTTCTCCAGGCTCCAAATTCAAGGACCATGTTTTGGAAAAGGTGATATTTTCTACCAGTCAAAGGATGCAGTAATATGTGTGGTTATGGCAGAAATTCTGTGATATCTTACAATAATTTCTTGTATTGTTTATATTATAGTAGTGACTTCATTGGTAATCCAGTGATTATTGATAAGTATAAAATATAAGGTTTTTTCCTCCTTCTTAGTTTGTATTTTTAGCTTGTATTTTAATTTTTTAAAGTTTTTTTTAAGATTAATTATTGTTTGGTTAGAAAAAATAAAGATATTAAATAAGTTTTTTTTAAGATTAATTATTGTTTGGTTAGAAAAAATAAAGATATTAAATAAGTTTTTTTTAAGATTAATTATTGTTTGGTTAGAAAAAATAAAGATATTAAATAAGTTTTTTTTAAGATTAATTATTGTTTGGTTAGAAAAAATAAAGATATTAAATAAGTTTTTTTTAAGATTAATTATTGTTTGGTTAGAAAAAATAAAGATATTAAATAAAAAATTAAAACAAATAAAATAAAATGTCTAAAAAAATATTCAGGGATGATACAAACTTAGATAGGGTTTTTCTACAGGGGTTTATTTTCACCAGTCTATAATCTACCAACTTTCTATTCTTTAAACTTTGCAATTCACTATCTGGATAATGCAATACATATTGCAAACTGTCAGAATTAAATAAAAAATATTAGTAACATTTATCTGGGCTATGTAAAGTCCCATAGACGACTATGAATATTTAGCAGTGCAATCTTGATACATGTAGGAAAAAGCAAAACTCATTCAATTCAATGGGATTTATTCCAAAGGTGATCTTATCTGAGATTTCAGTCTTCAATAAAATTAAACATGAAATAGAAACCTTGAAATATAAAAAAAGGATATCAAACTCTAAGTCTCAGGCACTAGAAAATAAGCTCTTAGGAGAAATGAGAGATTCTCAATGGATTGTGTCATCAACTAGCAAAATTAATCTCCTAAATTAGAAGCAGCGATCCCCGATGGCCCAATCTAATATTTACATAAATAAATAAATTACATTTGTGGAGTTCCAAAATATATCATTTATTATGCATCCTGTGAATTGCTCAGATTTCTTCATTGAGAGA